ATAGTGACTTTGAAAAATGATAATACTTACTCCAACCTTACATGTATTAGTTAATACTTTTATTTCAAAATGCTTGCATAAAAATCCCTGATGAAACCCTGATTTTTTTTATCGTGCGCCATAGTACCATGCCCAATGCACATTCAAACATAATAAAATCCTTATTTCTATACTAGTACTTACTTAATTTCTTTAGATATACTCAAACATAGTAAATAATATAAGCATTTTCTTGAAATTTCAGCTTTGTCCACGAATTCCAATGACGTTGTCCACGATTTTAGATATCAACACTTGTGTATATACTAAGTTTATCTATTTTTTCTCAACGTAGGGTAGCTAGGGTACATGTATCTGCAATATTTCTCCATAAAATATGTTTTAAGACATTGAAATATTAGTGAAGAGAAATCCGCTGCTCATTACAATTAGAAAAAAAAAACACGAAAGGAAAATATTTAATTCTTTTATATTTGAATAATAAATATTAAAAATACTTTGAATTTATTACAAATTGTTTAATAAATTGTAGATATTCATTGATTCTATCTTACACTCACGGGGAGGTCACTTTAACTGCATTAAACTATCCCGGAATGAGGATTTTTAGTGAGCAATGTTAAGAGCTTCCTCGGGTTGAAAAGCTTTCATACCCTCAATCGACTGTTGTCAACAATTTTATGGCCCAAGAAAGCAAAAAAAGGCAATATTGGTAAAAATTGTGCAAACCTGGTCATGGTATTTTGAACAACCTAATTCTTGATAAGTGGAAAGACAAGGTCAAGGTAATTTTTTTAAGTTTATCTACAGTCTGTGAACAAACAGGATTTGAGTGTAGTCTCTAATAAGACGTTTTCTGTGTTCTACTTTCAAGAGCCCACAGTACATCCCTGGCTTTCCAGAGATTTCTCTTCATATTTCATTCTTGTTAAAAAAAAATACACCACTAACAAATGTTTTCACTATGTTCACAAGAGACACAGTGTTAAATTATAGAAGGTTGGTCGGGAAAGATATGAGGACGCTTGACAGTTGAATAAAGTATTCAAGATTAGAAAATAAATTTTTGATATTTGTTGCATGTATGCATTGATATTTTCCAGCAGACTTGCAAATTAAATACCAGAAAAAGTAGGTGAAGAAGAAAGGTACCGAATATCATTCACATTTAAGAATGAAGACAAATAAAACATATTAACTGTGACTGCTGTTTTAAGCTGACATAAAACAACTCCTTAACGAGGTTCGCTCCTGAGCTTTTGAGCATATTTTTGTCTTAACCTATATTTCAAAAATTCTGCATAATGTTTTAGTTCTTACAATAAATTTGGATTCTACAATACCAATTAAACTATATTCACTTAAAACTCCATGATTAAATTCCATACCAAAAGCATTAAGTGAGGAACTATATTTTGTGGCGGAAGTTTTTTTTAGAAGAAAATGATCATTTTTTTCTCTTTCAAAGTATTTAAAGTATGTTAAGTTTGGATTCCTATTTTTACATTCAGTCTGCACACAGAATTATTCTGTGCCATGAACTATTTTATGCTGGTCCTAAATTATTGAATAAATAAACTATCATGAATTCTATCATCATATTTGATAAATATAGCAAATATATTGTGAAAATCCAGAAAGAAATAGCCCTAATTTAAGCTTAAAATTAGCACTATTTTAGTAAAATCTAAAAATTAACATCACAGACCCCCATTTTTAATTTTCTTTTCCGAGTATATAAGACACTTTTAACCATTCTTCTTAAATTCAGTAAAATGTCATTACTTTCAAATGATTTTATTGCTTGTTAAATATTTAATGCCAGAAAAAAGATTTTTTTTGAGTGCAAAAAGGTCAAATAATTGAACATGCGAAGTAATTTATAAATTTTTGTTGTCACAAATTTTAATGTGTCTATTCAAGATGAAATAAGATTGTGTTTGTGTTCCCATAATTTATTTGAATAAAAATATTGGAGGAAAAACTTTAAAAATTGATTTATGTGTAAGACGTATTTACAGTGCAAAAAGGTCAAACTAAATGCTCTGTAGCGCCAAAAGAAGTGCATTGACCCCCATTTTTTGTTTCGATTTTTAATTAAGCTATGTGTGTAGATCCTAAAAATATACGTGATAAAAAATTCTCATTACTTTTGATGACAGGATCCAACCTCCTTAACAATATATGTGTTACTCAACATAGTATGAACTTTTTCTAACTCTGGATCCTGATCCAAAGGAGCATGAAATTTAAATTAGCTGAAGGGCGTAATTTCAATTCAACAATATTTAACAGGAAACCATTTCGCTAAATACACTTACTTGAGTCATCTTTGATCAGCTGCTCGTAAGATTTTAAACGATTTAATCATTTTCAGCCCCATGGATTGTGGGAAAAATCAATATATACACACATCTGGCAAAGCGAAAATTCAATCTACGCGACATTGTGATTCGCCTGACCATCAAAAAACTCAAAAGAGTTGTTCTTTAAAAGGAAAAGGAGAAAGGGATTTTTTGATAAATCAATACGTATTGTGGCCATACATTAGTCCAACGGACATAAACTTTTAAAAATATAGAATTTTAATTTTGTGTAACTTTATGCTTCTCTGCTGTTCTTGAAAAGGCCTTTAAATATTTACCATTGTGTCCCCTCCTTTACACTATGGGCCATAATAACCAAAAAAAATCAATATGTAGTGTAGCCCTTCAGTTTTTAAAAAGGAGATATTTAAATATTTTACAATTTATTCCTGTGTCAACGTTGTTATCTAAACTTCAGTTATGTGGGCAGGATTTGAACAAAACTTGAACAGCTGTTGGATATATTCACTTCTTTTGTGTATGTTTTTTTTTTGTCTTTACATGACTGACTATAGAACACTCCCCCCTCGTTTTGAAATAAAATTATATTTCAACATCATATAGAAGGTCATGTCAGAAAGGAAGACAGTTGACTAATTCTAACCAATGTGTATCTCTATATAACGTTTGCTTACTAATCTTGAAAAGCGAAGTGTTATGTATTATAGACTGATACGGACACGGTTGAATTGCTCTTACCAGTTTAACAAGCATTCTGAGAGTATTGCATTAGCAATACTAGTCCCTACCGGCAAAGTGTAATCTGGTACCCGTTAAAAATTGAAAATGCCATAATTCCGTCAAAAATCATTAAAGCGGAACGAAATGCGAACTTGATCTAGAAGTAATCAAGGTAAAGTCACATACCAAAAATCAGCTCAATATCTCCAAGCGTTTAGACAAAAATGGCGGAAAACCCTTAAAAATTGAAAAGGTCGTAATTCCGTCAAAAATCAATGAAGCGGAACGAAATGCAAACTTGATCTGTTTCTCATCAAGATACATTCACATACCAAAAATCAGCTGAATATCTGCAAGCGTTTAGGAAAAAAGTGCGGAAAACCAAGTGGGACAGACTGACAGACAAACAGAGGGACAGACAGACCGACAGACGGACTCAGAGGAAACCTATAGTCCCCTCCGGTTTCACCGGTAGGGGACTAACAAGCATTTCTATAAGCATATGGAGCTTGCTAAAATATTTTGAACATTTTCGGGGGGATGGGGTGGGGAGGGGATAGGGATTTCCAACATAAAAAATCAAACACTATTTAATAGCTGTCGGCAATATTCAAATCCTGAGTGTTTAACAAATTGAACTCAATCGAAGAAACATTAACAATAACAGAGCCCGTGCTCTGTTTGCAAAACAGTTTACGTTTCACTGGGTGTGTTCAATTTGTTAAAATCTGTACACATCACTGAGCACGGACTGACCATACTGGTGAGTGGGTTTTGCTTTCTCACATTTCTACTCTGAATTTTCTGGATTGTAGTTTTGGTATTTCTCATTAATGCACAACACAAATTATACTTTTCTTAAGTATTAAGGATAAAGTTTACTTTGTGAAAGTGCAAGAATGTGTCAATCAAACGCGTCCCGAAATTCGTAGTTTCAATAATTTTCCAGATAAAATAAGTTTTTTTATTATATTTCCGTTTGAAATGCTATGGCAAACTAAGTAAACTTTATCCTTAATGCGTTTTTTGTGGAACGACCTTCCTAATGACATAAAACAGGCCTAGTCCCTGGACATTCTTAAAAGACATTTAAAGACACATTTTTAAAGAATAGCGTCTTAAATACTTGGAGCACACATTTTAGCAACAAATCTCAACAGATTTTCTAATATTCACAGTTTTTTAAATACCATAATTGTATGTATGTAACTTTAGAATTTTAATGTTATAATTTCTAATACACATATGTTAAATTGCATGTAACTAATCTATTCTAGTTCTTAAATTATGTTTATTTGTGTTTAATTGTACAGCGCTTTAGAGTAATTTTATTAATATTTAGCGTTTCATAAATTTATTTTATTATTATTATCAAATAAAAGTCATGATATTATACAGAAAATATGAGAAAATATTAACTTCAAATCTGTGTCTATGCCCCCTTTAAAATTGGGGATTTTTCAGTTTTTTAGTTATATTGTATAAATCGTGTTATGAGCTTTATAATTTGGATTATCACCTTCTATAATGTTTAAGGCAGCCGCAAGAAAATAAATGAATTTATATACATTAAATGCACGTTTATATATGAAATACTGTCTACAAAGATGCCAAAACTGTTTTCAATTAAAATGCATATCAAGATAAGTGAGCATTCCACAAACAATACAACATGTAAATACAGATATATATTTACATGTATATATTACTGAAGAATCGATTTTTGTTAATATGGCTTAATCTTCCTTTCACTTTCCGAACAGGTATGTCTATGTGACAATATTTGTTAATAAGAACAAAAGATTTTTAGTTTCTATTTTATTTACAATACAGAGATCTTTTACTATTGAACATTCCGTTAAATCGAGAATAAATAGACTTGAAAAGGTTTTCACGGGATAAATGTGTTTCTTTCACCAGAGTTTCTATCATGGTTCCATCAGCGTTAGTTACCTGGTGTTTGTTTTATGGAGTCTTTATTTGAATCATCATCTGTGAGTGTAAGAAAACTGAATTTCCTCAGAGAGCTGATATCAGAAGCATCGAGAACAGAAGACATATTTAAAAAAATAAAATTTGTTTAAAATCTTCATGAAATTATTAAAAAAAAATAAACAATATATAGTAGGAACGAATGCTGTATCTAGTGATGTCTGATCATCATCACTGTCTGTCTGACATATGTCCCAGTCCTAACCTTAGGATACCAGGGATTCAACCAGAAATCCGCAGACTAGGGACCATTCAAAAAGGCTAGGTAGCAGGCGTTAAACCAGCAGCCTCCTTTCCTGGTTGCAGCACAGCTTACTCTTGACCATTTATCATTGTTGTTGTCTAGGGTAGAGAAGTACATCCCTGACAGATCCGCCAGGGAATAACCAATGTTCAACACACTGTCTCCTACAGAATGAAAGAAAACAACACAAATACAAGACATCTACATGATTCAGTTCATTATATTCTTCTTGTTTATTATTCAGTAGTTCATCTGGTATAAATTCTCTGTCATCTGAGTGTAAACAATATTGTCGCCTAAACAGAGACACAGTATATCAATATAGTAAAACACACGAAGGCGTGTAAAATCGGGTATTATTTTGTGCATAGAAGTGAGTAGTAGAGCAACACAGAAACAGACACCTTAAGTCGTTGTACAACAAACAGACGGTTCTTGTAACCCATTGGACACCGGAAGATGGTCAGCATAAGTCTATACAACAAACAGATAATAACCATAAGTCGTTATACAACAAACAAATAGTAACCATGAGTCGTTGTACAACAAATAAATAGTTATCTTAAGGAGGTTCGATCCTGATTTTTAAAGTCTTAAACTTTTCTTTAAATCAGTTTTATTATCATCTTTAATCACTTTATTTAAATTCTAACCACTTTTGAATGGGTGTTCATGCGCTAGAATTTTGAAATGTGGTGCTTTATAAAGAGCAAGGGTTTGAACGGTGAATTTTTTAATAATCTCAGTCCGGAAAATCTAGCATCCACCTTTTGATCCATATGAAATAGATAAAATGACAGAATACCGAATAAAAATCATTTAGTTTACATCATAAAATGACACTCAACCAAATATGATGCATTTTGACCCTTGTCCCCAACAGAAAAATTAATTCAGTAATACCAACCCACTCCCTACATTTCCTCTGCATCATTTTTGGTACACTATAGTACTAATTAATACAGTTCTAGAAAATTATTAAAATGTCTTAAACTTTTTTTGATACACTACATGTAGATAACATATAAGTCGCTTTGTAATACGAAATAATGAAACATGGGGGTACATGATCATTTTTTTGAGTTAGCCCGAATTTTTTCTGATTAACTTAAATTTCCTCTGAAATTTCCTTCTTTAAGGAATATGAAGACATTTGATCTATACATACTTACAAGATACAGTTTATTTTACTTTAGAATGTATCATTAAATGGTATGTACTAAATAGATGAAAGTATTGAAGATTCAATCTGATTCATATATACTGTTCTTCATGATACTCAGCTTGAATTTCCTCTGTTAATATTCAACACCTATGTACAGATTTCCTTTTTTTAACCAATATAATTGGCAGAGACAGACATTTTTTTTAACATGATACTTTTTCTTGAATAAGAAACATCAGTGAGTACTTTCAAATTCTGTCCACCAATATTTCTTAAAAAGTAAATGCATGTATAGCTCCAGTATAATCATGAGGGACATGCATATGTTGATATGTACAGTTTCCAATGACTTTGTCTGAGATATTATTACGACCGGGTAATATTAGTTACATAGTTTTGTAGTGACTGGGTACGGGGTGATACCTGATTAGTAAATTTTATACCTGGTGAGGCGAAGATCAAGGAGGATAATAATGTAAATACCGGTATAAGGAATTAACTGTGTATTTTTTCAGCTTTAAGGGTTCCTGTTTCTCATGTATATATATATATATATATATATATATATATATATATATATATATATATATATATATATATATATATATATATACATGTCCTTGGGACAATGTAGTATCTATATATTGTATATTAACAATATATATATATATTAAAAAAAACAACAATATGTGTGCAATTCAATTAAAAATATATTTGTATTTTGAAGAAGAATTCATTAGAATCACAAAAAACAAACTAAAGTACTTGTAAATGTACAATTTTACAATGCCATCTGATATTTACAAGAACTGATATTGAGCTTGTTTTAGTCATATTTCAATTTGATTTATAATTCGGTGACATTTCTCTTCAAGCTTATACAGATGAACATGTATAACTGTAACAATCACATTATTTACCACATGATACAAGATGTACTTTACTGAATCACTTCCTGAAATCTTACATCAGAACATGTACATAAAAAAAAACAGAAATATGTATTAATCACAGTAAACAGGTAGGTCAGAATATAACAATAGCTAGATACAAAGTTAACTTTCTCTCATTGATGCAAAATAATTAACAAGTTTTACAGTAACATTTTTTGACTTTGTAACTCGGACAGAAGACTTCCCACTCTGTTCACTGAACAAAGAATAGATACCCTCTATTGGATCTCGAGTGAAAGCAAGTTCAAGATATTTGTATTGTAATCCAATACCTGCAATCTTTTTAGCAAATAATTCATGTTATTTTCTATGTAGTTTGTAACACAAGATTTGATTGGTTGCAAAGTCGAGTGTAAATTTCCGTACACCCGACTTGGGCTGGGGATAAAATCATGACGTCACAATGCTTAGTTTCTCTATGATAAAAAGCAAATAACATGACGTCAGGATGCATTGTAGGACGTAGTAAATCTTATCGATAGCTTGAAACACAGTTGATTGGACTTGTTTTTGAAAGAATTTATTTGGGTTCACAGGAAATAAATTCGTTATCCAGATCCAGTCAAGGGTGTACGGGGATTTACCCCGGGGTGTATGAAATGAAACCCGGGGTAAATCCCCGTACACCCTTGATTGGACCTGGATAATTAATATTATACAGTACAGAAAACCTCATCTGATTACTCTGTGTGATAAAGTTGGGTAAGTGCGCTTCAGATGGTACAGGCTATTTGTTAGGTTTCTTTTTAATATGGTTTTTGTTTGATCTTTTTTCAATATTCTGGTCGACTGTCTGATGCAGTTTGGAAATAGTTGATGCATCATCATCACCAACAATAGCAGCTGTATGAATGCCCTCATCCATTTTCTTCTTCACCATTTCTACAACCATGTCTTGTTCCATTGCTTTTGCACTACTTGTTTAAATAACTAAAAATTAATTTGGTTAAAAAAGGCAAATACATTGAATACCAATTGTTCAATTCATGGATTAAATGGTGTGTAAATTCAAATGTACTTGAAATAGATGTTCCATCTATGTTAATTAAAGTGATTTTTTCATTGTTGTTCATTTGTATCTTTCCAATTTTGTCTGCAGTCATGTGATTTAGGAATAGTTCCACTTTTAGAGGCGTTACTACAGACACTACATGTCTTGTTACGAACACTGTAGCCAACTACCTTTCCTGTTTGTGTCCCAATCATAGTTGCATGTCCTGCAAATAACAAATAATTCCATAACAAATACATATATAATTATATCCCTTCATGTTATTTAGTAATATTTACTGTACATGTACATCCTTTTAGTTCAAAATATGTACTGGTTATGTTAATTTATTTGTTTTCACCATCTGGGGATGGTTTCATATAAATATGACTAATTAGGACTTTTCTACTCTTGTGAGAAAGATTTTTATAGATTGTTTCCAATTTTTAATTGCCTTTTGTGGCCACACCCTACCACCAGCGATCATGATTGAAATCAATACTATGTACTGAAGCTTTCACATATAAGTTTCATCTTTTCTGGCCCAGTGGTTCTTGAAAAGAAGATTTTTGAAATATACCAATAAAATTCCAATAATTCTTAATTATCTGCCCTTGAAAGGGCTTCATTTGTGGTTAAAATTGGCTCAATGGTTCTGGAGAAAAGTCGAAAATGTGAAACGTTTACAGACAACACACAACAGACAGAATGGCACTAACATATTTGAACCACTGAATAAAGGAATGAGGTGCTGACCCCAGGGACCTCAAATATTTGAAGAACTTGAATCTGCAGTATATTAGGAATGCTTTCACTTGATAAATTGTGCACTTGTATGTACTCTGTGCGAGAGGAATTTCAAAGATGTATCCCTAGACAAATACTGTAAACATATTTTTTCCATGAGGTCATGATTTTGCGGAATCACACTTTTTGTTTAATCTACAAGAAGAAAAGTACGCAAATTTCTTAGAATGTCACTATCTGCCTTATATGTACTTTAAGTACACTGGGACAAAGGATCAGTGCACTTAAGCTATGAGAGTTGGATCCCGGTGCTTTGCCAATAATAAATTTCCGAAATTTATAAACTTTTTGAAACAGAATTATTAAACAATATCTTAAGAGCAGGGTTTGATATATTATATCACATAAAAATATTAAATTATGCGACAATGGTTTTTGCGACAGGGGTCTAGCAGTTTTGTCCCATTTCTATTGTTATTAATATGCATACCAGTTTTCAACGACATTGTTTACATCGAGCCGCAACTTGTCCATTCTTCTCATTTGCACAGAATGTGTATTTTGATTTAAACTTATACATATCCAAAAGGCAATGTTGGACAATTTGCGGCTCATATGTAATTTTTAAAAAAAAATTCTCCAAACTTCTGTCGGGTTAGCTACTAAATTAACAGGTCACCGAGTGTCAACCTATTTTGACCTGTTTGATATTATAATCACTTTACTCACGTGACATTCCACTGTTCGATATGCTTTCATTGTGTCTATCAATGGACTTCAGGGCTGTACACACGGATATGTATTTAAGTACAAAATCTGACTATGTATAGACTTTTAATACGGTAAATCCTAAGATTTTTCGAAGATTATAAAACTGTATTAAGAATAGGGCAATGCTCTATTTCTTAATAAAAGTCTTAACTTACCTTTCATTTTTAAACCAATCAAAAGTACTCACATTGTGGTC